TCCAAATAAATTTGGGATTAATTCGATGTTGATGTTGATAATTGGATAGGCATAATGTTCTTTCCATAGAACAGGGGAACATAATATCGTACAAGATTCGGAGTTTATGAATGTGAATACGAATTCGTACCAAACAAAACAAAACCATATCAGGAGGTCAAGCAAACTTGAACAAGAATTGCTCTATCCTTCACACCCAAATATTGATATGTAAACACTGATATTACATATTAATAAAGTGATATTTGTTTGTAGAAGATTGTGGTAGGAATAATATATATGACCGTTCATATATTCATATATATATATATATAATCAAATCCTATTTAACTGTCCGATGTTAGATATGAGTTGAGATTTTCGAAATTTCAAGATTCGAGGTTAGACATTTAGGAGACTCTTGTGTTCTTAAATTAATCCTTCGGGTCTTATTAGGTTGTAACGCTCAAACTCTCATTGGGAATTTCATCTGCTGGTTTGATTCCGATGTAATAAAACTACTCATATGCATTTTTGGTATAGTGCCATTACATATATATAGTATTGTAAAATGGGTTTGTACAAGATTCATACACTCTATACTATTCGTATAGTGTCGTGATTCTCATTGACTCAGCGAATGAAAATGTGTTGGAAGAACGCAGGAAGTCATGAGTTAAATTAATACGAACAGGAACATCGCAAAGTGCGTGTATATACAAAAGTGGAGTTAATGTGCTCTAATTCTTAACTTAAATTCCTCAAGTTTTGTCATATATATATATGTATGCATGTATGTATGCATGTATGCATGCATGTATGTATGTATGTATATTGCAGGTGCAGATGAGGGAAATGAGTCCAGAAACATTTCTATGGCAGTAGAATAAGGTAAGAGGAAGCTATTTCACTTTTCATTTAACGTTGAAACCGCTTTTTTATCCGTTGTTCGATCGGTTATTATGTTGATGGATATACCACGAGATCTCAACCGAGAGAGTCGCCCTTAATTTCGTTTCGAATTCGAATCCAAAATCACGGATATTTTTGCATCAAGATCGATTCTTGTAGATCAAAGTCCAAAATCAGTAGCATATGTATGGTTTAACTCAAATAAAATAAAATAAAAAACATTCCTAACCATAGTATGGTAAATGCAGGTATGAATGCTGTGAAAACAATGGGATTAAAGACCGATCATGATTTCCTATGTTCGTGTGGAAGCTTCTTTACTCGGATTTACAATCACTACATTGAAAATCAGTAAGTATATATAGCCTTCTTCAAATCTCATATTGGCTTGCCTTGTCTGTCATCTCATTCTATTTGCTTATATACACACATGCATTACATATATACTAATACAATCGAATTATAAATCTCATTATCATAAATTAAGATAAATATATATACACAGCGAACAAGTGACAATGCAAAAGAAGACACACCTCATGATGAACTAACCATACCCATATTCATATTAGCAACTTAACCACAACAAAGGTACTAAAATAACGCACTTCAAGCCCTAATTAATTTAAACAAATTGGCAGGACAATCTCTCTAGCTAGTTCAAACAATCATATATATACATATATATATACACACACATGACACTTGAGCAAGGCTTGGCATCGGCAAAACCACAATGCCAAGCCTGTTAGGGCAAAAGATCTTCAGTAGAGTTGTTCGAATACGGACCATGATGAGTTGTAGTTTCTCTCCATGTTACATGTGTGATTTGTGGAAGCTGATAGTGTTGTTTGTCGGTTTTGGAACATTGTTGAGCTTCTTGTCGCCATTGGAATAATTTTTGAGACATTAGGTTTTTGAGCAAGAGAGGAATAGGCTCCATCAAGATTAGGGTTTTGAGACTGAGCTCCTTCACTAACTCCAGTGCTCCGATTTCAAGGAAGAACCCTGTGAGATTCCTCGGAATTCTTCCTCGTTGAATCTCCCGAGATCGATGAATAGCTTGATTCACTATCAATCCCAAGAAACTTCTCGATACTGCGGAGTGCATCCATTTGACACTCTAGGAAATTTAGCAACCCTTGTTCTTGGCTTTGTTCTTCCATATCGAGTCTTGTTTCTTGGCTCCAATTAGGACAAAGATCCTCCTGTGTTTCTTTTGAAGTACCGTGGGAACCTAACTGCCGGCCCGAATCATCAGAGTTGGTTTCTTGACGATGACAAAATGCTCCGGACATCATTCCAAAGGCTGATCCCGATCTGATGTTCCTCCGCTTGGTCATCGTTCTCTCGCGAGCCCGTCTCCTCGCCTCGTTTCTTGATTCCTTGGTCCTCGTCGGCCTCTGCACAATCTTTGTTGTCCTTCTTCTCGTCCTCCTAATTCCGGCCGTACCCTCTTGAGCTTCGAGTTCAACCGTTTCGTTTCCGACATATCCATGTTCTTGTCCTCCTCCGTGTCTTGGTGCAGACACGCTTCCCAGGAGCTGCATGATCGAGGCCTCGGACACGGAGAGTAACCAAGCTATTGTCATGCTTCCCTTATCGAAACCCAACAAGTCTTGGAGATGGAAGAACTTGTGAGCAACCACAGTAGATAACCTCATACGACGCGCCCTAAGACCGTTGGCCGTCTGGATTTTCTTGTGTCTGTCTTTTGTTCTTCTTCTCTTCCTTGGAACCTCCTCCTCTTCCTCCTCTGCCCCACCGCCTTCTTGCGAAGTGGTGTTAGAACAAGAACCGAGGTTGTGATCTTGCTGCTGAAACCCCAATTTGTTCATCATCAAGGAATTGCCATTGCCAGCAAAAGCTTCGAAAGAAGGGGTGAATGGCGAATGCTGGTGACGATTGTAATCAAGGCTAGGGTTTAGGATTGTTGTGGTTGTTTGACCGAGATTGGGAGGATCATACAGTATGTAGCCATTGTTGTCTAAAAACGAAACCATTGGTTTGTTTGGACAATTCAAGAGAGAAAATAATAGGGGGG